GCGCGCGTCGAGGCTCCCTCCCCAGTTCGGGAAACGATGGGAAAAAACAAAACCAAAGAGGACGCGCACGGGTGAGAGATGCGGCTGCGACGCGTGATGAAATTCCACAGTTTCCTGTCAGTCTGACGACGAAAACGCGTGAGGACGCAATTCCCGACTCAGCTCACACTGAAGTGCTTGGCTTTACACCCCCATCTTTCTTTTTTTTTCTTTTTCTTTTTTTCTTTCTTTGTCCCTCTGCTCTCGCTGCGCGGTTTTGCGGCCCAGCGACGCGCACGCCCGCACACACACACACGCGCTACGATGGAGACATGTTGTTCGAGGTCCAAACAGTTTGAGCGACGCATTGAGAACGGAACAATAAAAATCACCTTTCGGCTGAGCGCCCGCTCCCCTCCCTCCCACTTCCTGCTATTGTTGTCGTTTTTCTTTCTTGCGCAACGGCGCGCACGTAACATCCTGCCCTGTCTGGCGCCCTGCCTGTGCAAACGGTTGGTGGCGGGCCCGCCCGAAAGCGCAAGAGAGAGAAAGAGAAAGAGAGGGCCGAATTGCCCGGAGGTGGGTTGTGGTGGGCGCACGCCGCTGCTGATGGAAGCAACCAACTCTTGTGCGCGAGGGCGCGTGGCCCCGTGAACGCGCTTGCGTGATGGCCAAAAACAAACTCAACAGGTCTGACAGCCGCCCCGCCCGCCGCAACCTCGCCGGCTGGCCCCCGCGCCTCCCCTCGCATGGCCAGGAAAGGCGCGTCTTGAGACCCACCGCTCCGTGACGCTGGGCGCTTGGGTGCATCGGCGCCCCGAGAAAGAGACACGCCGGTCGTGAAGCGCAGCGACCCTTGGGCCGGTGGCGCGCTGTCGGTGCCGCGCGTGGCGCCACTGCCCGGTTGCGCGAGAGTTTGCGGTGACGGTGCGCGCGTCGAGGCTCCCTCCCCAGTTCGGGAAACGATGGGAAAAAACAAAACCAAAGAGGACGCGCACGGGTGAGAGATGCGGCTGCGACGCGTGATGAAATTCCACAGTTTCCTGTCAGTCTGACGACGAAAACGCGTGAGGACGCAATCCCGAC